ATTTCCCGCCTTTTAACCCCTTTTTCCCCTAATCGGTTTTTCCTTTGTACCATTTTCTTCTTCTTCGCGGCTCCCGTCTTAGATCTTTTCCTTTTTACAACTTGCGCGGACGTCTTTTTCCTTATTTTCCTCCCTTTTTCTTTTTCTCTTCTTTTTCTAACAAAAAATTTTTCCCGTTTTATTTTTAATATTTTAACCCGGAGAGCTTTATACTTTTTCCATCCTTTTTTATTTTACATTTTTACGTGACATAGTCCTTTCCTTTTTTATTTTTCTTTAAGGAAAATTCTTTTTTGGTGAAAATTTTCTCAGTTTTCGACTTGAACGCGTTTTAAGATGAACACTTTGTTATAAAACTTTTTTTTTTTCCTTTTTTTTTACGATACGAAATCAAATTTTTTTTTTGTTTGTTTATCCTGTTGTTTGTTTTGTTTTTTATTTTAAAAAAAAATCCCGTTTCCTTTTTTTTTTATTCTCGTTAAATATTTTTCCCGGAGGAAAAAAAAAAAAATTTGTTTTTATACGTAATCGTCGTTTGCCGTCGTCGTGGTCGGAAAGTTCGGGAAAAACGTTCGTCGCGTTCGGTTAAAAAAAAAGAAAACAACCCGAAATTTACCGGTGAAAAAATTTTCCGCCGAACGTAGTTCCGTTCGTTACGAAAAAAAAAAACGTGTTGTTGTGATATTTTGTGCGTTCGATTTTTTATTATTACGGTATAAAATATAAATTTATACAAAAAATAAAAAATATTTTGCATTGCTGATAGTGCGACAACAACCACAAACAAACAAACAGACAGACAAAAAAAAAATAATAATAATAATTACAACAATAACAACAACAACAACTTACTTTTTTTTGTACTTTTGTTTTTTTTATTCGTTCGATCACATATTATTATTAATAACTTATTAAACATAAATTATCATCATTATTATTATTATTATCATTATTAATAATAATTAATTTTTTTTTTTTAATTTTCGTTACGTTCACAAATAATTAAATAAAAATAAAAAAGGTGAGAAAAAAAAAAAACTTTTACGAAAAAAATTTTTTTTTTTTTTTACAAAAAAAAATTATTATTATCATTATCATTATTATTATTATTATTATTATTATTTTAAAAAAAAAATTAGTGTTTTTTTCTTTTTCCCGAACCCCGCTCTCTTCATGATTCCATCCTGTTTGTTTCTTAGCCATCGTTTAAGATGATTTTCTTTAAAATCATTTCTTATTCCTTTTTCCTCTCCCTCTCTCTCTCTCTTTCTTCCTTCTCTCTCTCACACACACACACGTATAAACCCTCCCCCCTTCTCCCACTTTCTTTACCAATTCTTGTCTTACATCTTACTGCCACCGTCACCACCACCACCACCACCGCGACCCTTACCATCCCCCTTCCTCCTCCTCCTACCCTTTCTTCATCTATCTTTAAGAAAATTCATAGATTTCTCTCTCCGTGTCCTGTGCGCGCGAATTTTCCATTTACAAGCAAATTTTGGGCATCTTAAAGACACCGGACGACGTCGATGACTTCTCCGGTTTTTCTTATCAAACTATTACATTTTCAAAAGCTAAACATTGTTTCTTATTATTTTCTTATATATTATTTGTAATAATGGAAAACTTTCTTAGGATGAAAATTTTACTCTCCTTTTTAACCGAATGAAAATTTTCTTACATGTATAAGACGTTGTGTGTGTCTTAGTACACATCTTAGTTTATGTTTTGATATCTAACACATAAAGTCTTATTTTTCCATCACACGGAAACACACACACGCACACGCACACACACACATACCATACATATATACATACATACATACACACGCACACACACACATACATACATAAACGCACACGCATACACACACATGTACATACATACATACATACAAGAATAAGTTGTTTATTTATTTCTTATCGATATTATCATTATCAATTTTTATTAAAAAAAGAAAAATTATTAATCATTATTATTATCATGGTTTGAATAATAATTTATTTTCATCGAATATTAATACTGATTTATCATTACTATTATGGATTAGGTGCGTGTTTATGTATATATTTATTTATTTATTAAGTTTTTCGACAAGTTTTTTTTTATTAAATAATATTATTATTATTATTATCGTTCAAATTTTATCAGTTTAATAAAAAAATAAATAGTTTGCAAAGATTAAACGTATAAGTGAATAAATAAATAATTTTTTTTTTTATTAATAATAATAATTATTATTATTAAAACAATTTATTTATTTATTAACGTGTAAGTGCGGACGACGAGTGATAATAATAATTATTATTATTAGTTAATAATAAAAAAAAATTTTTTTGATAAGTGCTGGAAAACGATGGAAATAACTGGAAATTTTTTTTTTATTAAAAAAATTATTAAAAATTATTAATTAATATAAAAATTTATTATTATTTTAAAATTAATATATATACAAAAAAATAAAATATATATAATTTAACGATGCGTTTGAGAATAATAATAATAATAAATAAATAAATTACATTATTATTATTATTATTTACGCGTGTGTTTAACATAAAAAAAAAAAAAATTTTTTCTCCGATGAATTTTTTATCGTTTTGGGAATTTTAATAAATTATTTATTTATTTATTTAAAAATTTTTTTTTTTTAATTACACGATAATAAAATTTTCATATAAAAAAATTTATCATTATTATTATCATTATTATCATTATCATTATTATTATTATTATTATTATTATTATTATTATTATTACGCGTAATTAAAAAAATATTTGAAATCACAAAACGTTCGTACGTTCGTTCGTTCGTTCGTCCATTTTTTTATTTTTTTTACGGGAGAAAAATTTAAATAAAAAAATTTCCAGTTTTTTTCCAGTCAAAAATTATATTTTCCAAGTGATTTCCAGTAAAAAAAAAAATTAAAATAATAATAATAATTAAATTTATTATTATTAATAATAATAATAAATTTTTTTTTCTTGGTGCGTTTTTTTTTTTTTATCATTCGGATCGTTAAGATGATGATGATAATATTTAAGTGAACGTGGCGATTATTATTATTACGTGATAATTTTTTTTTTTTTTCCAGTGAACGCGAAATAACGGAAAAAACGCTGGAAACGTCGAGGATTAAAATAATAATAATAATAATAATTTCGTTCGTATTTTATTTTTTCTTACGATTTTTTTGAATAATTTTTTTTTTAGTGATTTTTCTTTAAAAAATTTTTTTTTTTTTAGTTTTTTCGTTTTTAAATCACTCGTTTACCCCCGCACCTCACTCTCCACCAGCCCCCCTTCTCGAAATCTTTGAAAAATTTAAATTAAACCTGTTGCTTTTCAGACTTTTTTTTTTCCTTTTTTGGCACAAAAATATTTAAATTTTACAAATTTTCCTTTTTTTTCGTTCGAATTTTATTTAAAAAAAAAAAAAAAAAAACGACACATAAAAAAAATATTCGTACGATTATTTATTTATTTATTCACTTAATAAACGTTAAATTTTATTAATTAATAATAATTAAACAAATAATAATAATAATAATAAATTTTTTTTTAAACTTAAACATAAAATTTTTCGAGTTAAAGTAAGAAATGTGAAAACTTTCAAGTGACAAAAAAAACATAAAATTTTCGTGTGATTTTTTGTGTTATGTTTTTTTTTGCTTTTCAAACATTAATAATAATAATAATAAGTAATAATAATAATAATAATAATAATGATAACCGTGCATTCCAATCGAAACTTATTAATTTTTATTTCATTACCAAATTTTTTTTTCTTTTGTGATTTTTGTTAGAAAAGAAAAAAGAAAAAAAATTATTATTATTATTTTCACTTTTAATCGCGACAAGTAACTCTCACGTACTCGTCGGAGTTTAATTTAATATTATTATTATTATTATTGTTTTTTGTCCAGTTCCAGAATCAAACGTTTCAAAAACTCAAAAACGAAAACTAAAATTTTTAATTTTTCTCATCGCCGTCGAGACCCAAATATTTCGTTTTTCCCCTCAACTCCCCTCGGCTCGCCTCGACTCGCCCCGCCCCCTCTCATCACCTTCCATCCCCTCCCATTTTCCATTTAACTCGCCGCTCCTGTTATTAATTCTTTTTCTTATTAATAAATCTAAGAAGTTTCATTTCACTCGTAATTATCATTTGAATTAATTATTCATTTTATAAAAAAAAAAAAAAAACAAAAAATACATAATAACAAAATTTTTATTTTATTTTAATGACGTCACTTCACGTATTCTTCGTACGCGTATTAAAAAAAAATTACTTAATATAAATGAATCGGGTTATAATTAATCAATCGATAGATCGATCAATCAATCATTCATTCAAAAAAAAAAAATTTAATGACTGACTTTTTTTTTTCATTATGTAATCATTTCCGTTATATGTTTTTGGCTTTCCAAAAATAATGTTCAATTTAATAATAATAATTTTACTTTGTTTTAAAAATTGAACCTCGTACTATTAATTTTATTATTATTATTAATTTAAAATTATTTACTTTTTAACTTATTAATAATTTATTTCAGAAAATTAAGTATTAAATTGATAAAAAAAGGAAATCAATGAAAAAAATATAAAAAAAAAAAAAACAAACACCGACAACCAACGAGCAACCTGATGATGCTTTTCTATTAGAATAATATTAACGGATGCTGAATTACAGGAAATACTTCAAGGAAAAAACAAAGTAAAGATAAAAGATAATAATAATAAAAAATAAATAAATTTTGTTTATACATCTGATATATCATCATCTTCATCGATATAATCATCTGCAGGATTGGAAAAGGCAGAAAAGTGACAGATGTGATGAAATAGAGGCCGATATGGCATATTCGTGATCGAAATGCTGGCATATAAAAGTTATAAAATAATAATAATATTAATATTAATAATAATAGAAAAACAATTGATTCCCCGAGTATCCAATATAAGAAAAAGTGGGTATTAAGTGTATGAAAAATGTCGACAGATACAATTCAAAGGTCAATATTTAAAATGAATCCTGATTTTTGGCATCAAAGAGCTCATCCAAATAATGGAATACAGAATCTAAGCATGACTTCTGATTCGAATTTGGGTACGCATCAATCTACGACGGAAGACGTTAAATATTCACAAATGAAAGAATTTAACGAAATGAAAGAATTTGCCGATATAAAAAATTACACACAGAAATTTGACGATTTCAAAGCTTACACGGAAAAAATGTACACGCAACAGGAAAAGTACAATACGCAAGTTGAAAAATTTGAAAAATTTACAAATAATCAAGATATGAACGATGTTGACAAGGTAGCTCAACCCAGGGCGACTCCGAATGATTCGGCTCAAAACTTGACCGCCGGTCCCGATGGTTTTAAACCAACGGAACAATTTACTCAAAATGCATATAAATTGCCAAATAGAACGGGACCGAACACTCCAGAAGTGAGTTCTCCAGCATCATCTCTATTGCAAAATTTAAGCACGGAACAATTAAGAAACATACAATCGACTTTGGCAAATTTTGGTCAGACGACCAACGACGTTCGAAACATTCAAGCCAACGCAATACAAAATTTGAGCACCCACATACAAAACGTGTTACCACCCAACACCCTATCACCGAACGAAATAAGAAATCTTCAATCGTTGGCCATATCAAATCTCTCATCTCAGGTTCAAACAATGACGAACGCAAATTTAAATATGGGAGATATAAGAAATTTAACGACCATCGCCGTACAAAATTTGACCAATCACATAGAAAATTTGAGGAACCAAAGTGCTAATTTGACTCCGAACGAAGTTAGAAATTTGACAACCGTAGCCGTTAACAATTTAACTAATCACATACAAAATCTCAATCAAATGAGTCAACCGCTTCCTTCTGGAATATCCGCAAACGAATTGCCGAGAAATTTGGCGGCATTTCAACAACTAACAAATCCCGTACAAACAAATTTAGACATAAGAAATTTTACAAACAACCTATCAGCAATGCAAAATTTATCAAGTTTAAGTGGAATGAGTAATAATATAGCTGCGGTGAGTGCGGTACTATCGGCTGCTGCGGTTCAACAAGCCGCTTTAAGTTCGCAAAACGCAAATCAAAATGTGCAAAATAGTGAAAATCAACAACAGTCTGACGGAGTTGAACCGGAAATATCAAACGGTTCTAACAACTCCGGTTCGGGTGCCAATGCGGCAGCTAACGGAGGTGGGACTGGAGGTAGCACGGTAGGACCGGGACAAAATCCTGGTACCGCTGCCAATAATGCTGCCTCCAACGTTATGGTTCCTACCGGATCTGGATCCAACAGCAACACGGAGAAAGGCAACAGTAACGACCTACCGGTAAGTTATAAAAAAACATATAAAATCTTTTTTTTTTCTCTCTTTATTTTTTTTAATACAAAAAAAAAAAAAATATTTACAAATTATTATTATTATTATCATCACATTGACCATACGTATTACTAAAACCTTTTTTAAGTAAACATTTCCGGTTCTTTGAAAATCTTTAACTTGATCTCTTTTAGTTTCACCCCAACATTATAAAAAAATAATTTTGCATAAATTATGCAACAAAAACAAGTGTTGCGAAATAATAACACACACACAGACGAGAGGGTCGTGAAATCGGTTGTTTGTCGGTTTGTTACCTGCAACTAAAAAAATTTGCCATTCATAAAATTATCATTATTATTATTATACCGGTAAATTTTATTGACCGCACCCTTCGTGCAATAACAATCAATCAATCATTCAATTTAATTTTTTCGCAAACGTCAAATAAAAACCGGAAGTCGTATAAAGACTCGTAACGTAAGAAGACCTTTTTTATTTCAAACACTCATCGTGATGACACGTACGTTACTTCTTTTAATTTTTCTTCTGTACGAAAAATTAAAAAAGCAGAAGACATTAAAACAATTAAAAAAATTAATTTTAAAAAGATTGAAATTTTTTTTTTTTACAATTTTGCCACCTTTTTTTGCAAAAAAAAAAAAAAATTTTTTTTTAAAAAAAAGGTAAAACGCTTGCGTGGAAAAGTTTTAACGTCGACGCGATAAATACGATTTTCTTACACGTGATAGCGAGTCGAGATTTGATAATACAAGAGACAAGTTGAACGTACGAACGTACGAACGCTTCATTGCCATGCTTCGAACGTTTCGTACAATTCCATATACAAACACACGACAAATACGATGATGATGATGATAATAATAATAAATTCCCGTTTTTTTTTTGTATTAATAATAATGATTATATGGTAAAATTGTTTGTTCTTTTTTGGTTTTGGGTTTGTTTTTTCTAACAAAATTTTTTTTTCTATTTCTTTTTACTGCTACCTCTTCGTGTTTTATCACGGAATTTTCCGGGTACGTATTTATTTAAAAAAAAAAGAGTCGTAGTAACAGTGCTATATCAAATCAAACGCTTGAAGAGTGCTGGAGCACTTTACAAAGAGTGAGTTGGCATTTGATGAAGCAATGCGTTGAATATTCCTCGCTGTTCCCGTACAACGTAATGTTTTTTTATTTTTACCAATTTCTATGTTTTTACGTTAAATATTCAGTGGTTTCCGTGGTACTTTTTCAACCCCCCACCCCTCACCCTCTCCTTCGGTTCATATCCGACACACCCATCACCCATGACCACCATCGGTATCACCATCATCTCGATAATCGACGGAATTATATAAAACGGTCAACGTCGTCTAAAAAATTAATCACGGAATTTGTCAATTGTTTTAATTAAGTGCATGTTTGTTTGTCTGTTTGTCTGTCTGTTTGTTTTCAATATGTATGTGCGTAGATGTTTTTTATAATCATTCATGATACCAACATTTAAAAAAAAAATTTTTTCGGGTAATTCTACTAAAAAAAAAATATGGCATTGAAAAATTTCGGGCAGCTGAATTTTATTATTATTAATATTGTTGTCGTTGTTGTTGTTGTTGTTGTTCAGGGTTTTTCAGGTAAGTTTTTTTTTTCTTTCTTTTCTTTCTGTCCTCCCTTAATTTATGTTGTTTATACCCGTTGAAAATATGCAAATAAGAATCTACCATCTACCACTTAACTGTAAAACTTGATTTGCATGCTGGAGAAAAAAAAAAAAAATTTTTTTTTTTTGTCTTCTTTTCTTTTCTTTTTGTGTTTATGAATGGATTTTCTTAAGACAAACAACAATTTTTTTTAAAAAGAAACCATTCACTATATTTTTTAAAGTATTTTCTTCATTCAATGGGTTACAAAACAGGTCTTGATTGTTTGTTACTACAAACAACCCTTAAGATTATAAAAAAAACTTTAAGAAAAAAATTTAAACGAATGAATATACATTAAACGTTAATTCATGGTTTTAGGTGGTGGTTGTTGTTGTTGTTGATTATAAATCTAATCTTTAATGCGTTTGTGTGGTTTTCGAAAACAAACAAACAAACGCACAAGATCGAAATTTTTTTTTTTGTTAAAAAAAAATTAATAAAAACAAACGACGGAAAATTATAAATCAATGAGTGAAAATTTTATAAAAAAAAAAAAAAAAAAATTCTTATTCGACCCCTTTGGCATTTTCTAGTCTATAATGGCGGCTTCCGATCGGTTTTTTTTTTCAACCCCTACAACCATCACATGGCGGATTCTCTCTCTCTTTTTTTCTCCCTCCCCCTCCCCCCCATGTTCATAGCCATAGCAAAGAATGACCCTTTGCATTAGTTAAATCCATAGCTTCAAGTTTTTATGCGTCCGAGACTTTAGTTTTTTTTTTTTTTTTTTAACGTCCACGCCATTTTCAACCCCTATTTTTCTCATCCCTTATGCTTATATCTCTGTGTAGAAAAAAAAAAAGAAACGAAAAAAAATATATATAATTTTTTTGCCCTTTTTTCTTCCTCTCACGATTTCAATTTTCTTTCTCTTTTTCAATCGCTTTTCATCCCTTAATTTTTTTTTTTTTTACTTCGTTATTTCTTCCCTTACGCGGCGAAATTTTCCTTTTTTTTTGATTATTTTACTCGTAAAATTAAAGAGAGAGAGGAGAGAGAGAATTAAGAGTTGACCGTTTACGCACAAAGAAAGAAAAAAAAATTTTTATTAATTATTATTATTATTACAATCATGTTAGCCAACTAAAAAAAATTTTTTTTTTTTTTTTTAAATTTACGACAAATGTTTTTTAAACTAAGGGTGAAATATCAAAATGGTGGCTTTTTTTTTTTTAATATCAAATGAGGGATGTAGTAGTGGTAACACATACACATAAATCGATTTTCAATGTGAAATGATTGGTTTGTGAATTATTCAGGGTCGGAATAAGACATTTTTTTTTAATTTTTCGATGAGTAAACGTTATTTTTTAAATTGCGTGCGTGGGGGTGTGGGGGAAAGAAAAGGGGAAGAAGGGAAAGAAAAAAACGAAAATAATAATAACAAAAATAAAAGCAAATTTATTTTTAATGGTTGTAAAAAGAAACATGGATTACATTTTTTTTTTTTTTAATTTTCATTTTAAAAAAAAATTAAAATATAAAATGAACAACAAAAGCAATATTTGCTCCTACTAGGCTTATTGTTGAATAACAGCAAAAAAAAGAAAAAATTGGTTGTAACGTTTTTCTAAGACTTAATTAAAAAGCTTTTCTCTCTCTCTCTCTAAACGAAGGGTAGTAGCAAATAATTGCAAAAAAAAAAAAAGTTTATAAAAAATAAATAAATAAATAATAATAATAATAATGAAAAGATAGAATAAACGTGCGCTTGTAAAATAAAAAAAAATTGTTATTTAAACAATATTAAAAGAATAAAAAATAAAATAAAAAACAAAATTGAAATAAAAATCCAATGAAAGACAGAGAGAGAGAGAGAAAGAAAGAGGAGTAGAAGGAAAAATAAGGGTAAAAAAAAAGAACCGAAGGGATCTCGTCGATTGGGTGTATGAGGGGAAGAAGGAGTAAAAAAAAGTGTCGAGTGACGTGGAAACTGTACGTAAACACACGCACACACGGATACACATACATGCGTGCACGTAGGAAAACACGTGTCAAAGGGGAGGAAAAAATTGCGAATAAAAATGGGAGGGAAAAAAAGGAAAAAAATTAAGGAAGAAGAAGAAGACGAAGAGGAAAGAGGAGCGAAAGGGATTTTTATGGAAATGTTAGGGAAAGTTCGAGAAAAAGAAAAAAAAGGATGGACGGGAGGGAAAGAGGGAGACGAGAGTAGGAAGGGAGGAGAGAAGGAAATGGTAAAGAGGCGGGAGAAGGGTGGGAGGGAGGAGGTGAAAAAAATGAGAAAAAAAAATTCTCCAAGGTATGAATTAAGGCTTTTTTGTTTAGTTTTTGAATCGTTTTTAACGAATTCTATTTTTTATTTATTTATTTATTTTTTTTGTTAAAAAATTATTATTAATATTTTTTTATTTTTTTTTATCAATTTTCCGTTAAATAAAAAAAAAATTAAAATTAAGGAAAATCAAGGAAAATTAGGGAAAAATTATAAACAAAAAAAAAAAAAAATTTTTTATTTAAAATTTAAAAAAAAAAATAATAATCAATCGAGCACGATGGGGAGCTTTAAATTCTTTTTTTTTTGTTATATTTAAAATCGTTTTTTTTTAAATTTCTAAACAAACAACAAACATAATAACAAACAATTATTATTATAACAAAACACTCTCGAATGGTCTTTCCAATTTAAAAAAATTAAACAAACTAAAGAAAAAAAATTTTAATTATAGAAAAATTTATTATAAAAAAACGCGTCGTTTAGTGACGTCAAAGAAGCAGACGAAAAAAAAAAACTTCTTCCCATATATAATAATAATACTATTTCTTTAACAAAAAAATAGAAAGTAGATAAATATTATCTATCTATTCGTGTTTTTATATAGAAAACAAATTATAAGAAAAAAAAAATATTGAATATAATAACTGTAATAAAAAAGAAAAGAAAAGAAAAAGTTCAAATCACGCCAACATGTGGTCTGTGATTACAAAAAAAAAGAAAACTTTTAAGAAAGAAAAGGATGGATAGAATACCGAAAGGAGAAGGAAAGAAAGAGAGAGAGAGAGAGAGAGAGTGACGAAGAGATAGAAAAAGTAGAAAGAAAAACGAAGGGATAGAGAAAATAGATAGAGAAAGAGAAAAAAGTAAAGAAATGAGATGGAGAGAGAGAAGGAGAGACGAAGGGATAGAGAAAGTAAAAAAAGAAAGAGAGAGATAGAAAGATGACAGGGAGGAAAAATATTTTTTTTGATTTACCCCCCCCCCAATAAAAGAAAATTTTTTTTTTCTTATTAAAAAAACTTTTTTAAATCGAATAAAATTATCAAATTTCCATTGATTATTATTATAGGGAGACGGTTACAACAAATAACAACCGAAATCTCTTTTGTTGTTGTTGTTTAAAACAAACGGAAGGAATTGAAAAAAAAAAATTTTTTTTAAATATTCATTCGTTTGTTGTCGTTTTTTTTTTCACACGGTAGACAATCGTCGTCATCGTTTTAAAATTAACAATTAAAAATTAAAAAAACGGTAAGGAAGAAAAGAGAAGAGAAAAAAAATGTAACGAGGAAGAAATAAAACAAAAAAAAAAGGGTGAAGAGAAAAAAGAAAGAAGATGAAGATGATTGATGAGAGAGACGACGACGAAAAACAAAAAAAAAAAAAAAACGAAAAAAGGAAAAGGAAGAAAAAGGCATCGCAAAAGGGTTTAGAAAGAAAAAAAAAGGTTTCTTTTGTTTTACGCACACACACGCACACGCACGTAATTTTTTTTATTAACGGAAACCTTTTAATTTTTTAATACTTTCTTATAAAAAAAAAAAAAACTTTTTGTTTCGTTTCCTTTTCTTACCTGTCGAAAGGAACAAAGAAAAGGTTCATCCTTAAACCGGTCACGTGTTAAATTAATTACCGGTAAATATTGACCATTTTGACGGTTTACTACAATGATCTGGAAAAAAAAAATTTCAAAATTTTTATTTAACGGAAAAATTTTTCAAAAAAAAAATTCCAGGTGCGCTATAGGTGGGGGAAGGGAGGAGAGAATGGGAGGGAAGGGGTGGGATAAGGAAAGAAAAAGGTTTTGATGGATTTTTCATTTTTTATTTTTTATTTTTTTTTTTAATCCTTTCTGTCTTTGTTTTTGTGGGACAATCGTAATGGTAAAATGAATAAAAAGAGGATCAACCCCATGTTTCTGTTAATTGTTTTTTAAAATAAAAAAAAAATATTCCAATTAAAAAAAAAAAAAACCGGTTGTCGTTGTTGGCTCCCCTTTTTAAAACAATGAAATTTTTGTCTGATGAAAAAAAAATATAATTTTTTTGTGTTGTTTGTTTGTTTGTTCTCGCCTGAGAAACTTCCTGAGAAGCAAAATTTTTTTTTTTTTTATCTTTTTTCTCGTGTGATTCATTTACGTGTTAATAAAAAAAAAAGGAAAATTCAAGTTTTTAAACCTTTTCTCTATCTTCTTTCTTCGTTTGTTTTTTTCGATACGAACAAACAAACAAACAAACAAACAAAAAAATTTATTTTCATAAAAAATCCAAGCGTAAAATTTTATTTTCACGTGTTAGGAAAATTGATCGTTTCGATAAATAAATAAATAAATAAAATTGATGGAAATAAATATGGGGAGACAATTTTGTGTGTGTGGGTGATGGGGGGTGGGGGGAGGGTAAGGTTGTAGTAAGTCATTCAAACAAAGTAAAAAAAAATATATATAAAAATATCGCAACTTTTTTTCTTTTTTTTTTTTTTTTGGAGAAATCGGTGAAAGACACGATTCGTGCCCGAAATCATTTTAAAATCGTTTTTATTATTGTCAACCTTTTTTCTTTTTTTTCTTTTATTTTTTTTTAAATTTGATTTTTTTTTCAAACCTTTCATTTTATTATCATTATTATCATTATCATTATTATTATTTTTTTTTTTTTTTTAAATTTTCAAACGTTCGCTCTCAATTTAATTCGTTTTACGCGAAACGACATCAACAACAACAACAACAAAATTATTATTCAATCGAATTGGACATATCCGGTTTTGTTATAACATTATAGTAAAATGCATACATCAAAATAAAATCCTTTTAAATATGTCTAAATTTAATTTATAACATGGGAATTTTTTTTTCTCTTCTTCTTCTATATTTTCGCAAATGCATTTTTCTTTTAAATGCAATTTTCCAATTTAAATAAATGACAAAAAAATATATTATTTAAATCCGTTACGGTACATATGCTAATCATTTCACGTTTGGGAATTAATATTAATAATAATAATAATAATAATAAATTCAGGTGAATTGAAATTCGTTAAAGATGACAAAAATTTTTTTTTGGTCCATTTTTCATTCGGATTCTGCAACATGAAAAACTATTTTTATTTAATTTTATTTTGTGCTTTTTGTTTAAACGAATTATTTATGATAGAGTTTTTAAAAATAATGCTTTTCATTATTATTATTATTATTATTATTATTAATTATTTAAAATTTTTTTCGTTATAATTATTAAAAAAAAAATGGAATTTTTAAATGATTTCTCATCTTGTTTTATAAATTTTACAGAAAATAATAATAATAATGAAAAACCCGAGGTAAGAATTATTCGTATTTATATATATAATAATTATAATTATTATTATTAACAACGCATGAATTTGTTTTTTTTTGGCGGGAAAATTTTCAGTTTCAATGCGCAAATGTTTTCCTTTTTTTTTTTGTTGCATTTAATAATTGCTGCATTTTTAAAATGTAAAACGACCTTCGTAGTATTTTAAATGTGCATTTATCGATTCGGTTAAGGCCGAAATATAAATTTTTTTTTTTTTTTGTTTACTTGCACACAAAATCGTCTGCTTAAATTTTTTTTTTTTGTGAATTTGACCTTATTGTTGACATAACAATAATAATAATAATGAAGTCGGAAAAATATTAAAATATGACCCAAATAAATCCGATCGCAGACGTTTTTCATAAAAAAAAAAAAAAAAAAAATTCGTTGAACTTTTAAAGGTATAGATAATGTTATCACCTCCTTTTTTTTTTATTCTCTATGATTTTTCCCAAACGGGTTTTTCATTCTTATCAATTTCTTTTTGAAGTGTTATCATCACATAGAACTATATTATATTGAATTTGTTTTGGTCAAATGTTATCTTATTCCGTAAGTTAAACACGCGATTTTAGTTTGACCTTTGATTCACCAGTAATACGTAATTAAATTTTATATTTACATTTATACATTTATACTCTCGCCATTATTATTATTATATACGTAAAAGAATTTATTTACTTATTATTATTATTATTATTATTATAAATTGTTTAAATTCGATTCATCGTCCATTAAGGAATATATTTTTGATCTCCCATTAAATTTAAAGGGATAAAAGGTTTTAAAATTATTATTATTATTACTAATATTACTATTATTATTATTATTATTATTATTATTATTATTATTATTATCATCGTCGTATTTAAACCTTAGGAATTTATTTGTAATTGTTTATAAACTTTTCCTTTTGTTAATAACATTTTTTTTTTAAATTCAAAATTTTTAAAAATTTTGAGATATCGGAGTCGATTTCGAAAATTTTTTTTTTTGTTAACAAAAAAAAAATATGGCGGATTTTAATAATCGTGAATGTTTATTTATTTATTTATTTATTATTATTATTACATATATTTAAAAAAATAGTTATTATCATTTCCGCGTTCCATTGCATTGGGAAAGTTGGTTGTGTCGTTTTTATAATTTTATAATTTTTTTTTTTTAATGACCTTTTATACTTAGTTATACTGACGATGAATATTCATACAAAGTATATATTTTTTTTTTTTTGTTAAAACATACAAAATAACAACAACAAACAACAAACAACATCAACAACCATATTGCAAGAAATCAAATCAAATGGAGAAATTTTTTTATTTGGAAAACATCCGAGTTTTCAATTAGAAAAAAAAAAAATGTAAATAATTTTTTTTGAAAAGTGTAACAAATAATAATTAATAATAATAATAATAATAATAATAATAATAATAATAATATTGTGGCGATGATAATTTGTTCAAACGTTATTGAAGAGACTGATAGATGGCAATACAAAATTTTACCTGTTTGGACGATGAACTATCATCATTATCATCATCATCAACAACAACAACAACAAAACGGATTTTACGATCCGAAATTAAGCCAAAAGGTAAACATGTAAAACAAAGAAAAAAAATTTGTATGAATTTTTTTTATACGCGCGTGTTTTGTTTGTTTGTCGCTTTGTTTGTTTATCGATATAATAATATCGATTTATTTTATAATATCGATCGAAGAAATTTCTCGAAAAAAAACAAAAACAAAAATGATAATAAATAAAAAAATTCCGGGTGTGCGAAACATGAAAAAAAAAATCTCATTAAACAAAGACATATTTTTTTTCCGTTATCTTCTGCTATAATTAAAACGTATGATTTTTTTCATTTGCAAGGAAAAAAAAAAAAAAGACAGAAATGAAAAAAAAAAGTGAGAAAAAAAAAATTTAAAAAGGAAAGAAAAAAAAAAAAAACGACACGTACATCCGAAATGAAACCTTAGAAAACGGAAAATTACAGCAATATTTTTATGGTAATACTTCCTGAAAGTGCGGTTAAGAAGATATAAAAAAAAAAGGGTTGAAAAAAAAAAGAAAAAGTGAAAAATCCAAGAGAGAGAGAGAGAGAGAGAAAAAAAAGGAAAAACTTCCTTTTTTGAATAAGAAGAAGAAAAAAGAAAGATGAAAGAAGAAGAAGGAGAGGTGAAAAAAAAATTTCCCGACAAAATTTTCACTCCCTGAAAAAAAAGCAACGAAAAAAAATTTTTTCTCCTTTTTTCATTTATTTATTTATTATTATTATTATTATTATTATTATTATCATCATTATCATTACTGTCGGTCTTACGCCGTTAAATTTTAAAATAATACAAACGAACAACCGAAAACACAACAACGACAACAAAAAAATTTAAAAAAAAAAAAATTTGTTTTAAATTTAAGAAAAGGAAAAATAAAAAAAAAAGTTTTGGGAGGGTATGGGCGCGTGTTCGATGATAATCATAATAAATTTTTTCCCACATGAATTTTCCTTGTGTTTATAAAAAAAAAAATGTCGTCATCGTCGCATCCATTTTGAATTTTATTTTTTTTTTTTTTGAGGGAAGGGGAAAATAAATATATATAATTTTTTTTTTATTGATAAAAGTTTTGCTCTCTAATAATAATAATAATAATGATGATAATAATAATAATAGAGTGATTTACAACACCTGTATCGGTGTTGTACAAATTTCCAATAATAATAATAATAATAATTTGACGTTTCGATAGGAAAAAAAAAGAAAACTTTTAATAACGAATCATTTTTTTTTTTTTTTCGTTAAGATTTTATTAAATTGGTAAAAGGTAAACGATGAAAAAAATGTGAATAAGAAATGAATGAGAAAGAGAGAGAGTGAGGAGTGAGAGAGGGAGAGTTAAAATGATGATGGAAGGAAAATGAAGAGAGAGAGAGAGAGTGAATGAAGAAAAGTGTATCTTTTGAAATGTTAAAAGGTCGTATTTGACACGGGTTGGATATAAGAATTAAATTACGGGAAAAATCAACGATAAATAATTGAATAGATGAAGAGGAGGAAATAGAAGGAAGGGGAAGGGGGAGGGGGAGGGGGTAGAAAAGAAATGATGATGAATCCGAACGCGAGAAAAATTTCTTTTCTTTTTTTTTCTTTATCGATAATTTTAAATTTTCCAGATTTTTATGCACAAATCAGCGATGCAAATGCATGCAAGAGATTTACACCGATCGGAAATGAAACCTCATCAGTGTCAGCAATGCTTAAAATCATTTTCATCAAATCATCAACTCGTTCAACACATTCGGGTACACACGGGAGAAAAACCCTATAAATGCAGTTATTGCGACAGAAGATTTAAACAATTGTCACACGTACAACAACACACCAGATTGCATACAGGTACGTTTATTTATTTATCTATTTATTTATCAAAAATAATATTTTTGTTTTCGATAAAATCAAAATGGCGGAAATAAAAAATCTAAAATCGTCACCCTGTCCACCCCCTTCGCGCAACATCATCAACGTTTCTTTTTTTTTTTTTTTTTTTGCTTCTTGCCCATCAATTTTCCAATAAACACTTTTTATTAATAGATCCGGTTAGTGGAGGGGGGAGGGGAGGGTGTAAGAACTTTATTTAAAAAAGCAGAAGACGCTCACCCACCATTAAAAATTACTCTACGTGTTTTGAATATTTTTCTTTTTTCTTTTTATATTGGCGACGACCCTTTTAAAAAAGATTTTCCTCTTTCTTTTTCTTTCTTAAAGAAAAAACCCATTTAATTTACATCTATAAAATGTATCGTACAATTATTATTATTATTATTATTATTTTCACTACTACTTACTCCTCACCCTCACCCCCGATTATTATTATTATGAATTTATTTTCTCCAGGTAAATCGAATTTTTTTTTTAAAAAAAATTTTTCATAAATTGTTATTTAAATAAACTTTTTCTCTCTCTCTCTCTCTCTCTTTTTAAACTTTTAAATTTTTTTTTTTTTTTTTTTTTTAAGGAAACAATACGAACAATTAACAATAATTTAAACTTTTTTATTATTTTTTTTCTGGAATCCATAAAACAAACTTTTTTTTTACTGGAGAAAAACAAAAAACATTCGCGGTTATGTTTTATTTTTCGGTTTCGTTAAGGAAAAAAAAAGGAAAAAGAATCGATTTTTTTTTATTTTTAATTTTGAATCGTCCCTTTCGCCATTAAGCAAAATCCCTTCGTTTCCTTTTGGGTGGGGGGTAGGGGGTTGAAAAAAAAAAGGAAGAAATTATGACGAATCTTTAAAAAAAAAAAACGAGTCTTTAATCGTTTCATTACACTTCAATCTATCGGGTCTCTCCTTATCAAAAAAAAAAAAAAAAATTATAATAATTGATTTTATTTTCATTAGGACTTAAGTAAACTTGATTTTCCCGAGGGTTGATTTCGGTAGGTGCAGGAGGGGGTAGAAAGTGCAGGGGAGTAGGTGCGGACGTAAGTGCAGGGAAGTGATGAAATAGGGTAGTGACAGAGTAAAAATAATAAAAACGATCTACAGAATTTTCATTTCTTATACTAAAAAAAAAAAAAAAAAATTAAAAATTAAAAAAAAAAATGGGAGGGGGAAAGCCCGAGAGAGAGAAAAAGAAATGAAAGATGAAAAAAAAAAAAAAGAGGAGAGGATGAAGATGAAGAAGGTGATGATGGTGTGGTGGTTGGTTGGTTGTTGTAGTCGTCGTCGTCGGTGTCGTCATCATCATTAAAATTTGTTAGATTTTCAAAACGGAAAATTATAAAACGGTTTTTTTTTATTTTAAATTTATAGCGCTATAAAAAAAAAAAGTTTATTAAAAAAAAAGCAGAAAGCAAAAAAACCGGATATAGTTGATGGTCATCCACAATTTTTAGTGATGAATTTTAGTGCGTGTGTGTGTGTGAGTGCGTTTGTGTGTGTTAAATTGAAATTTCCTTTTTTGAGTTTGCGTTTTTAGAAAGTTGATTAAACAACAGGAACGACAACGACAAGAACAACAACAACCAGTCAACCGGGTGAACGTTCACTTTTCAAAATTACCAAATTTAATAGAATATCAATGTTGTTGCATAAAATTAAGCCGGTAAGCCACGCCTGTTGTTGATTATTTGAATAGCTTGGTTAAATATTATTATTTTCTAAAGCAGCAGAAACGACAGCGAAGGAGCAACAGCAACAAATCTAAAAATTTTTTTTTTAGAGTTCATCCATTTCGTTCTCTTTTTTTTTTTTTTTAAACAATCCGAAAAACAATTTTTTTAAAAAATATTCACGTCACGAATAAAATTTTTTTTTCTCGCTTTTACTTCCGTTTCCTCCTCTTTTTCCTCCTCCTTTTCCTTCTCCTCCCCCCCTCCTGAAAAAAAACAAAAAAATTTGTTTATTATAAATAAATTAAAAAGTATTCGTTCAATGACCATCTGGTATTTTCCAGGTACCGCAAACAAAGGAAATGAAAAAAAAAACCCTTTCGATATCATTTTAATTTTAGGTTTTCAAAATTATTTTTTATGATAAGAACCTTTTCATAACAAATTATTTTATTTATTATTCGAATCCTTTTTCATTTATTACATCGACACCTTCCTCCAGTTGTTGTTGTTGTTTGTTGTTTATCTACCATCTGGTATTATCGTACCTTATTTTTTTAATTTCAATGATATTCTTATCAGCGTTAAAAACAATACCTGTTTTTTTTTAATATTACGATATTTAAACCCCCGCCCACGCCCCAAACGAAAAAAGGTTGAAATTAAAAGGAAGTTCACAAAATAGGCATTTTTAATTTGACCTTAGTGGTGGTGGTGATGAAGGGAGGAAGGGAAGGCGGGAAGGAGGGAGGGAGGGAAGAAACGGAAGATGCATCGTTTGTTGCTGATGCTGTAGATTTCAAATGTCAAATCCATCTAGATTTTCACTCATTGTTTTACTGACTTGACCATAGTTTTCATTCAATTATAATTTTTTTTTTTCGGCAGATGTGCTGCCGTTCAACCATTATTATTATTATTATTTAAAAAACCGTTCAGAGGAAACGTTAAATTTTTTTTTTTTTTTAAAATAATTATTAGGGTTATTGTTTTAACAAAAGAAAAAAAAATTGTTAACAAAATGATTTTTTTTTCTTTTTTCATAAAACAATAAAAAAAAAAAAGGGTTGACTAAAAATGAGGCCCAAGGGCAAAGAAAAAAAAAGAAGAGGAATTCGGGGAGGGGGGAAGTGGGAAGGAGAGAAGAGGGGGGAAACCGAGACGGTCGAAAAAGATAAAAAATTGTTTTTATTATTATTTTAGGCACCGGTTGTATGAAAACCTGACATTTTATTTTATGTCATATCCTTCTTCCCCTCCCCTTTTTTTTCTTATTATTAAACGATTTCCACTCGTTTTCGGGTTAAAATGATCAAGTTTTCCCTTCCTTCTCCCCTCCCCCCTCCTCCTCCCTAACTCTCCGTTCGTAACGACGATTTGCGCATTTAATATATATATATATATAATTATTCATTTTTTTCGTAACATTTTATTTTAAATAAATTATTATTATTATCATTAAAGTTTAACTTAATGTTGCGTGAATTGTTTCATAAAAACAAAGGAAAAAAATGGCAGCTAATCTGTCTGAGAAAAATAACAATTAAAACAAATGACTCTCCCCCGAAATTTTTTTTTTTTTTGGCTTGGAAAAAAATTTTTTTTGCCAAAATAAATTTTCCCGGATTCGAACAAATCATCTAGGATATCCCGTTTTAATTCCTGTTTTTTATTTTTTGAAGGTGAAAGACCTTACAAGTGCCACCTACCAGAATGGGGAAGAGCATTTATACAATTATCAAATCTTCAACAGCATTTAAGAAATCACGATGCGCAAGTTGAAAGAGCTAAAAATCGTCCTTTTCATTGCAACATATGCGGAAAAGGTTTTGCAACGGAATCTAGTCTAAGAACTCATACATCAAAGGTACGTACATACAAACAAACAAACAAACAAACACAAACTCTAATAGAAGCGGTTAATGTTAAAAAAAAAAAGCACTTAAATTATTATTATATCGAAAAAAAAATTTAATTTACTCAACATTCAGTGCATTTAAAAAAAAACTCGACGCCGCCATTTTAATAAACACAAAAATTACCGGAAACAAAACCATTATCATTAATATTATTATTATTTAGTTTTTTTTTTTTAAAAAAAAAAGGAAGCGGCCAAGGGTAAAAAATAACCCTTAAAAGTAATAATAATAATAATTTTATCGTATGATTTAAAAAAAAAAAAAAAAAACGTTGTTTCCTTGTTTTTTTTTTTTTTTTTTCTACGGCCTTCGGTGCGTCGTCCCGTTTTTAATTCTACAACCTATTTTCCATTCCCTTAAAAGTAGACGTGGAATTAGAATAATATTAGGAAGGGAGGTCGACGACAATAAATTTTAAGGAAAAAAAAAAAATGAATTGGAAGCTTTTTTTCTCATTTTGTTTCTCCTCGCTTCCTTTTTACTTTTTTTTTTTTTTTCTTCTTCAACCTCCTTTCTCACACTTTTTTTTTCCTGTTTTCTTTACCAACCCTTTCCCCTCTTCTTCTTCTTCTTCTATCCTTTTTCATTCGAAAAAAAAATTTTTTTTGACACTTTTTATATTATCATTATTATTTCCCGTGATATTGAATATTGTTTTCATTTTTTTTATTAATTAATTAATTTAGTTTATTTATACATAAGTTATTTTATTTATTTATTTATAAAAAATGTTTGTAATTTTTTTTTGTTATTGTTTTATGAAAATTTTTATAAATATCATAAGGACACTCGAATTCGTGAATGAAATTACATAAATACATAGATTAATAGGAAAAAAATATTTATTAAAAGGAAAAAAAAATCAATGGAATAACAAAGGATAGAAGAAGAAGGAAAAACGAAAAAT